CTTTGGACCGCTTCTTAAAACACCCAAGGACACTTCTTTCTTCCTATATCCTATGTACAAAGTCCGTTTTTTGTTTTAGTAGCTACTGAAACCATGACCATGCATTTGGGAGTCAGGGAAGGTTAGGGAGAGGAAAAAGATAGTCTCTACCTATAGTAACTAGGCTCTATCGCTTCTCAGCCTTTTGGCTAAGATCAAGTGTAGCAACCAGGCTCACTTGCTATTCCTGAAGAGCATACTTAAGCAATAAGTAATAGACACGCATAGGTATAAAGATGCTCATACCAAAAGCTGAGTCTGAACATGAACTGACAAGAAGAATCAAAGATTTCCCTACAGCTCCCCTTTCTGTCAGTCCAAGTCAGCTGTGCTCATATAAAACCGAGCAGAAATTGTGAGAGTGCCTAGCTCTGGAGCTTGATGTTCTTGTGCAGAGTCTGGAAGCGAAGCTTGGACTCTTATCCCTTCACAACACTATACCCTTTTCCCTGCCTATGACAACTGACTTGTTAGAAGCTTAAAGACAGAGGTGGGTCCACAGAGGAAAGTTGTTTTCCTCTCCTCCTGACATAGCTGACCAAAGCAAGTGGAATTTCCTGAGCAGCACTTTTAAACTTAGGCAAATGCAGAGGCTCCACTCAGGGATCCCAGGACTTGTTAGTTTCTGACTAACTCTGAAAACGAAAAATGACAATGTAGGGGAGAACTGCTGACAAGAGTCCTAGCCAGGACTTTGATTTGATTCTATTGGGAGCCTTTCCACAGGCTCCTTGACAATCCTCCTGAAAACTGATTTGGACCTTGGCAAGCCCTAGGTACAAAACCAACAGTTTATGGTCCACTAGATTCCTCTCATTCAATAAGACTCCAGTCCGACTTTATAATCCCCTAATTATCAACTGAACACATACCTCTAACCGTGAAATAGGTTGTGGGCCAAAGCTTTCTTCTTCCACTGAAGTATCTGCATTTGCTTCAAGTTGCATCTGCATAGCCATTACGCAGTGTTCCGGACTGAAAAACACAAATGGCCATTTGTAGAGAAATACTGTGGGGCAAGTACTGAACTGTAAACTTTATTTTATGATAGATGTTTGAAGAATTATTTGCTAGACTTTTAGTCTAACTACTGGCCTATCCATTTCAGGAAAAAGAACAAACCTCTCACCAGCATCCTCCTATCTAGCTTTATCAGAAACCATTGGGAAGAAAGAGGCTGACTTTGGTAGTGACACCGAGTTCCAACTCAGAGACCATGAAACTCCATGAAACAAAACACTGGCTAGTCATGTGCCATCCTCCCCCATCATGATGCTTGAGCCTACTGTTGCAGCCACATCAATCCATCTCCTTGACACAATTGTTTCTTCGTGACCTTCAACTGTACTAAGCATGATGTTCTTTTACTATTCTGCTTCCTTACTTTGTATTCCTTGAGGATGGAAATTAACTCCTATTTTTATTTACCTCTGATAAATAATATTTGGCGTTCAATAAATAAATGTAGGCTCTCAGGGGCTCTGTTTTAAAAATAAACAAAGATGGCCCATGAAAGGTCAAAAGTGCTTTAGTTCCATTGTTCAGGTCCCAGTCAGGGGAAACCAGGAGGTACAGATTGGTTGCCCTCAGCCTCCATTCCTAGTAGTTAAACATGGCCTGAGGTTTCCTAGCATAAGCAGATTGTAGCTGGTAGACAAAGCTTCAGAGGGGGCTCTAGTTCCTGATCTACTGTGATTGGCTGCCAACCCGAAGGCCGCAGTGGGCGCCCTAGGGATTTCGAGTCTGTCCTCTGGGGTGACTGAGTGGGAATCGACTCCCCACAACAGGGTTTTGGTATGTGACTCCGTATTGATTCTGTCCGAATTCAGCGAGCTGTAAACTCTGTGATCTGTGTATGTTCCTATGCATCGATTACACTTTATTAATTGCGGGGGAGGGGTGACTCTCACTTCAGATCAGTCCTTAGTCACGACAGGCTTCCGTAGCAGATAATGAAAACATCCTTCGGCAATTGGGGAGCCCCAGGGTTGGGCAGCTAACCGAAAGATCAAAGGCCGGCAGGTCGCCGGCTGGAACCCCGCAGCGGCTCCCCGAGAGTAGGCGTGGAGTCGTCGGTCTCCAGCCTCGCAAGGCCTAGGGCGCCCGTCCACCCTGTTCCTCGCGGGTCGCTGCGAGTCGCTGCCGGTGGCTGTTTGGCAACTGGAGGCCTGGGCTGAAGAGGAACCTAGAAAA